CTTTTCCCTTATGGAGCTTGAATGGTAAGGCTTTCTCTCAGGTATCTTCTTACTCACCAATACTCCCCAATAGGAGGTTCTTGGTTCAGAATCCTTGGTACTAGCCTACCTGGTGTTTGTGGAGGAATAATCTTAGCAATAAGAAGACTTTTGAAAACGTCTTCATTTAATAGTTTTGTTTTCAATCTAATAGTTTGTTTATTTTCCTGGCTACCCAAAGGCCATATCTGGGGCTGTTTATAGATCAAAAAAAGTATTTTGTTGAGTGTGACAAAAGGCTGACCAATGTTAGACATTAGTTATTAGATATTAAAATATAAGTTACACACAATAGAAGCATCTAACTTGAACAAATGGCCCAAACTCCCAATTTTTTTGTATCTGGAGATATTTGTTAGGAGAAAAGTATGATCTAATTCATTAATTTTTGAAGTATGGAATCATGTAGAGCGCATTTTTGTTAGGCAGATTAGTAAAAGAGTTTTTAAAAGCAAAGCCCCACCTCTCCCCTGGGTAATTAAAGCTTGGATCTGACTTAGTCACCTGGATTCTCTCCACTTTTTCAATAGCACTCAACTCCTTCATCTTGACTTGTTGCTCTCTTGCTGACTGCACCGGACACACTTCCTGGGCCACACCACATTCTTTCAGAACTTTCTCCAACCTCCCCTGCCCTACACACCATAAATTTATGCACACCATAAATCTGTTTCCCCTGACAGGCATGTTGGACAGTACAGGGCATCTAAGTTACAATCAATCTTAGGTTTCCCAGAACAGGAAGCACCCTGCTGTAAGCCAACATCTGAATCTTGCTCTCTCTACAGAAAGCCAGCCGACCTGCACAACCTAGCCCCTGGCACGCACCCGCCCTTCCTGACCTTCAACGGGGACGTGAAGACAGACGTCAATAAGATCGAGGAGTTCCTGGAGGAGACCTTGACCCCTGAAAAGTAAGGATCTGTTTCTTTCTGGAGCTGTTGAATGGGAAGGGTTCATGCTGGACCTATAAAGGCCTGGTGTTAACTTTGAGCAGATGCGTTTCCAAAGGAACCTCACCAGTCCAGAGAACAGGACACTGTCTTCAAAGAGAGAGCCTAGGACCCCCAAAGGACTGCGAACCTCAAAACCACTCCATGAAATCCACTCAAGAGTAGATATGGCCTATATCTACTGTGACTGAACAAGAGCCAGTCACTCCCACCTACACAGAGTGATTTTAGGAGCCCTAGGATACCACACCTCCCTCGTCCCAGTATGTCCCCTTCTCTCCAGCTCACTTTGCTTGGAAGACCTCAAAGTGAGGGCAAAGTTTCCTTCATTTCAGCACCAGAGCTGAAAGGTTGACAGAATGAAAATAAGTCAGGAAAGGGTAACCCAGGGACTTAAAACAACATCCAGGGTCTTAAATCTGACCAAATCTGGTCTGACTCCACAATTAAACAGATGAAAAAACTAACTAAAAGCAGCTCCTCTTCTGCAAACAGGTTCGGGGAGAGTATAGACCAGAGAGCTATAAGTTCTTGTTGGGTGACACGTTGCTACTGATGGAAAAGAGCGTAAAAAGGAGACAGATGGCTTCTAAAATTTACTCAAGCTAGACTTGTTCGTTACAGAATACTGTTATCAAGGATTAAAACAATCACAATTTTTGAAAAAACTAGAAAAATAATATTATATGTAGAGTGAGGCAAGAACTTTATCCTGTAGGGTATTATCCTGCAGTGAGTCCTATGGGGTATCCTGAGAGGGATTAAGCACAGGAGGAGGGGAGTCCGTTTTAAGACCTACTTTAGAGGTTGAGGGAAGTTGGCATCCTAGAGGACCATGAAGCTGGAGATAAAGGAATTAATTCCGGGGACTGTCCAGGCAGGACAGAATGATGGGCTGAGCCAAGACAGGGCAGGAAAATCGAAGGAGAGGAGTAGGAAGGGTTCAGGACATACTAAGTAAGTAAAGTAAGTGGGATTTGACTACTAAAAACCACTATTCGGCATTTATTTTAAAGTTTCATTTATTCATCAACACTTTTATAGCCTTCATTTTGTATCAGGCACCATTCACAGCACTTAGCTAATATGATTCATTTCATCCTTCTAGCATCTTAGGTACTATCATTAACCTCATTTCACAGTCAGGACAGGGTGAGAGTAAGTCACTTACCCAAGGTCGCACATCTAGTGAATTGCTGTTAAAAAATTAAAACTCCCAGTCATGCTCCAATTAAGCCTTAAACAGTCATACATTCTTCCTTAAAAATATTCTTTGTCATCCATATTCAGACAGTTTATTTGCACACTGAGAGTGGAAAGCCACCTCAAGCCCATTGGAAGCAGCTGAGTATACACTTTAAATAAGTGCATTAATTAAATCAATAGGGCAGCCCCACGTAGACACACACATCTCTGAACAGGACACTAGCCAGCCACTTGACTGGAAGTGCCCTGGGGGAGCCCAGACTCCATCCCCGTCCCCGGGACTCAACCTCATGGCTAGCACTGGTTTGAAATCCCACATGAAAAAATATGCTCTTTTCAATAACTAGAGTTTAGACTTTGCCTGGGAGACTCATAGAGGCAAGTTCATGACGCAGTTAACATTTTCCCTTTTAGAAGTAACACTGGGCCAGGCGCGGTGGCTCAAGCCTGTAATCCCAGCACTTTGGGAGGCCGAGAAGGGCGGATCACGAGGTCAGGAGATCGAGAGACGATCCCGGCTAACACGGTGAAACCCCGTCTCTACTAAAAAATACAAAAAACTAGCCGGGCGAGGTGTTGGGCGCCTGTAGTCCCAGCTACTCGGGAGGCTGAGGCAGGAGAATGGCGTAAACCCGGGAGGCGGAGCTTGCAGTGAGCTGAGATCCGGCCACTGCACTCCAGCCTGGGTGACAGAGCAAGACTCCGTCTCAAAAAAAAAAAAAAAAAAGTAACACTGGCACTCAGGAGTGGGGGCTTCCATCATGATCATTAGGAAGTGGAAAGTGGAAGCAGTGAGGAGCAGAGGGCCCCATTTGGTCTTTTGCCAAGCAGTGGATGAAGGGACTCGGGGCTCGGGTACAACCCTAGTCTGCTAGTGATGTGCTGTGACCTCTTGAGCCAGTCCCTTCACCTCTTGAACCAGTTCCTTCTCTGCTCTCGGCCTCAGTCCCCTTCTCTGTGACAGGATGCCTCCCAGAGCCCTTCTTGCTCTCTGATTCTTCACATGCCCTTTAGCCAGGTTCCCCCACCACCACCACACCACCCCCAGTACAACTGTGCCTTTCCTGGGCTGCTTCTCTAACTCAGGGGTCTCCAATCTGCAACCACAGTGGGACCACAAGGTGGGCAGAGATCACTGGAGTCATATGCCCCATGTGTCCTTGAACATTATTCCAGAGGGGAGTCATCATCTGACTTCATCATCATTTCATCAGATTCTAAGTTTCCGTGATCCAAATAGAGCTGGGCAGGGCTGGATGCAGACCCTCCCTCCAGTCTCTCCTCTCCACCTACCTTCCCTGTCCTGAGCTCTGCTCCCACTGGTCCAGATCCTTCTCTGCACTGCAGTTGTGTATAGGAGGTTTTATGAAGTGCATTCCTGCCATGTTAGTGACCTAACAATCCAGTACACTCAGGTAGCTGAACCCTCGAAGCTGTTAAAATGCATATCTCCAGAAGGCTACCAAGGTGGGAGTGCTAAGGGTGAGGCCATCAGGTATTCCAGAGCGCTCCAGGAGTATACCTTAGCTGCCTCTGCACCCATCAGACTGAGGCAGGTGCCATAATCACCTCCCAGTAAATGTTACCAAGCCAGTGCCTCAGCCCCATAGAGACCTGCTAGTCTGCCCACAACAAACCACCAGCCTCACCAGCTTCCCAAGCGACCCAAGCTGGGAGGTGGAGGGGCTGGCAGGTTGTGAGGCCTCTGGAGCAGGGCAGCCTGGCCTTCTGGTTCTCTAGGGGGCAGCAAAACCCTCATAACCATTCACCAAGCGCTGGTCGGCCATGTGTTTCTCATCATACCACTATTTGTAAAAGCTGCCAAAAGCCAACACATTATGGGAGCCTTTTTCCCCTTAGCTTTATTTTTTAAAGGAGAAAACCACATACAAACACTCCAACCATTTTTTTTCAAATCACATTTGATCCCAGGGAGCATTTGGTGTCAAAATGAGGAATCCAGGAAGTCTCAAGTTGTTTCTAAATGAGACTAACATCCATCCCTCTCCTTAGACTGACCCAGTGAACACTCGACAAGGAAGTGTTGTGATTAATGCTGGGATTACTGTTGAGACATTCTGGCCCTTGCCTTTCATCTCCATGGAGTGGCCGAAGTTTCTAGGATTCAGCACTGAGAGTCAGGAGCCCTGCCTCTGGCCACCTCTCTACCAGTGTTTGTCATATGACCTTGGGCAAGCCTCTCTCCCTCTCAGACCCTCCTTGCCTTCTCATCTCTCAAATGAGGGGGTGAAACTACATAGTCTCCAAAATGCCTTTTGTTGCATGTTCCACGATTCCATGAGTTTCTCAGAGTACTCTTCCAGAGCTGGCTACTGTCTCAAATAATCCTACTACATAGATGCTGTAATAAAAATTCAGGAGGGTAAACTGATATAGTCTAGTTACACAGTATGTCATTTAGTCACTCATCTAGCAAGAACGATTTAAGTATCAACAGGGTTCAGAACACTGACAGAATTGGAAGACAACTTGAATTCATTATTTTAAAAACTGTATAGCGATAACTCACCACAGTGAAAAACAAGAATGTTCTGACCTTCTGGGAGGTAGAGAAACAGCCTCCAGACCTCCCACAGGATGGCATGGTAGCTGGGGACAGGAAGTTTAGAGTCAGAGTGACTCAGGTTCAAATCCATACCACTAGGGTTGTGCTAGGCTGCAGTAACAAATCAGCCATAAAATTCCAATGGCTTAACAGACCACAGGTTTATTTCTCACTTGAGCAAATTCTGAGAGGGTAGTGTGGCCCTGTTCCATCCTGTAGCTTTTGGAATACATACCCTCCAAGTTTCCTTCAGCAGGGAAAGAGAGAAGAAAGATCTCCCAAAGGGTTTTGCAGGGCCAGGGCTGAAAAAAAAAAAAAATGTCATGGTGACGTTACTTTCCCTCCTATCACATTGGTCAGAATCCACACACGATGCCAACTTAGGTGCTTAGGTGAGAGAGCAGCTGGGAAATAGAATTACATGGCTATTTAATGAATATGCATTATCCATTCATCAGGCAAATGACCTGAAATCTCTAGAATCTTTAATTCTCACATCTATAAAACAAGAACCATACTGTTGATCTTATAGGGCTATTGTAGAAAATACTACTACTGAGCATAGTGCCTGATATGAAGTAAGAGCTCATTAAATGGTAGCTCAAAGAGTTAGAAAGAGTGGTCAGTGCCTGTTTTGGGTCTGTCTCCCAGGTGCAATTGTACAGACAATTGGTGACCTTAGGTCTTAAAACCCCAGATCCTAAGGGATATCTTTTAATGAATAAGCCAGGCCTCTTTCACCTCCAGGGATATTTTGCTTACACAGCAGACATGAGTAAAGCACACAGTCAAGGATTAGAAAAGTCAGATGCATTAACCTCTTTCTCGCGTGAGGGGTTGGTGAACTAAGGAAGTGGGAACAATGGAGAAAGGAGAGAGAGAGGACGTCCTTCCACTTTTCAGCTCGTTAGAAAAAGGAGGGAAAACACTCAAGCTGCCATCAGCAAGGGCATTCCATCAGGATCGTCTTTCTTTTTCTCCAGGGTATCTATCCCCAACACCAGTCTCAGGGCCTGGTCCTCAGTAGGTGTTTCATGCACATTGGTTTAATTGCATGGCGGGTATCCTTTTGTTTAGTGTCTTGGTTGGCTGCGACTAGTCGGTGAGAAATCAGTTGAAACTCTAAACCAGTTAGGGCACTTACCATCTGCAATGGTTTTCTCTTCCTTTTTGCTACTATTTTCTACTTTTGAATTTTTTTTTTTTTTTTTTTTTTGGTGAGAAGCCAACTGTTTTACTTCCCAGAATGAAAGTTAAGTGAACGCATCTGAAATAAGATATCTTAAAAACAGGTTTTAGAGAAATTTTCATCAGTTAGATCAGGGGTCAGCAGCTTTATCTGTAAAAGGTCAGATAGTCCTGTGTTTTTGGCTTTGTGTGCTCTTCAGTGTCTGTCACAATTCCACGGTGACACTGGGCAAGAAGCCATAAACTAGTATGGAAATGAATGGGCATGGCTGTTTCCATAATCTTTTACTTATGAACACTGAAATTTGAATTTCATATTATTGTCACATATCACAAAACAGTATCCTCCTTTTGATTTGTTTCAAGCATTTAAAAATGTAAAAACCATTGTTAGCTTGAGAACCACAGACAAATAGGGATCATGGGTCACAGTTTGCTGACTCCTGAGTTAGAAAACTTTATCATCTCTTTGATTATCATCAGATCACATCAAATGTTATTTCAAAGCTGTTTCTGTGAATGAAACACTCTTCCCTAGCCTTTTAGAGAAACAAAATGTTATTTGTAGCCCACTTCTTTGCATATTTAAAACATGCCATAAATATGGAGGTAAAATGAATGCACTTATCCTATACAGTATCCTCCCTCAGTGTAGTTACTGAAATTTGTGAGATTAACATCTTAGAGACACGTTTCCCACAAGAACAAAGCTCAAATGGAACACTGCACTATACAGAAAAGTCCCAATGAGTTCTAGTGCTTGGGAAACAGGATGACACCGCCATAGCACCCTGAATACACAATCCTCTGTCATCAGCTTGGATTTGGTACCACATATCCCTGTTTGACCCACCCTGATTGTGAAGAAATGATCCGATGACTGAAAGTTTGACCAATTGATGAGATACAGCAAAACAAAGCAAGAAACCCAAACCAAGCTACCCACTGAGGTGTATTTTCTAGGCCTTTCTGTCCTTACATTATCAAGGAGAAACAAAGAACACTTGGCATTTGTTAATGGTAATTTAAGTTTATCGATTCTAATAGCATGCTGAATTCTATGTGAGATAGCCGAAATAGGAAGAGATGCCACTAAATTCCCACGTCTTGGTAGATTATCTAGTACCTTGCAGGAAGCCCTGCTATGTGCCCCCAGCCACAGCAGATGAATATGATGATTCTCAGTTTACCCAGGAAGACATATGTGGAGCATCGGTGCAGAGCGCCCCCTCCTGGTGGATGGAGACAGCTCCTCCAGGGTGCGTAGCTCAGCCTTTAGGGCTCTGGGGCTTTGAGAATCAACAGCGGAGTTTATGGGAAGCCACACAACGTGGAATTTAAAACCTAGTCTTCCACAGTGAAACTGCCTGGATTGGGATCCTGGCTCTGCCAGGCAGCCATGTGACCTCAGGCAAATTGCTTAACCTCTCTATGCCACCGTTTCCTTATGTGGGAAGTTAGGCTAATAATAGTACCAATAGAGTTGTTCTGAGGAGGGAATGGTGAATTTGTGTAAAGGGATTAGAATAATGCATGCCGCACAGTAGGTGCTCAATGCAAATTACCTTTCACTGTTTCCAGAGAAGCAGTGGAGGGGGAAGGACACTGCTGCAGGGCCAGGAAACCAGGTTCTCATCGTCCCTCCACTGTTTATTAGCCATCAACATTTATCTTCTCAGGTATCCAGCTCCCTTCCGTGTAAAAGGAGGACAATAATGCCTTCCTTATCTGCCTCACAGCAGAGAGTTGACTCTTCCAATGGCAGTATCTTTGAATTTACACAGCCACATAACATGGCCGCAAAAGGAGTCCTAGCTCATGGGCCAGTTGAGGAACAGAAAAGCATTCAAGAACAACAAATATTTTTTAAAATCTTGTTTGGTTCAAACTATCAAAAACATCAAAACAGACAAAAAGGATTTTGCTTTTTAAGCATAAAGCAATCCAACAGCCGGCAGTCAAAAACTATTCACCCAGAGATCACAAATGTGCACATTAATTGAAAATAATGATAACCTGGCAACAGTCCCCCATCTCTTCCCACCCCTACCTGGCCATACCCATAAAATGCTTGTGAAATAATACTTACTTGAGTTGATTTTCTCACTTTGATGGGGCTAATGAGTCCAAGCCCTGGGTTCCCACATGAGCAAGTTTACCTCCTTCAGTTTCAAGGCCAATCGTCCTAACTCCGGCCTGCCTCTTGTATTATTCTGGCTTCAAAATGAAAGGCTCTGTGGGAGAGGGGAGGGGGAGCTGGATCATTGCAAATCTATCTCCAAATAAAATAAAATAAAATAAAACAATTGAAAACACATGTCCTTTTTTGGAGCTTGGTAGTTTCTGCATCTTATTACTGCACACAAATAATAAGCGTGTGAAGGACGTGTCAGAAGAGGACCGTGGGTATTCTTCCTTTGGAGAAGTGGTTTAGTGCTAACATACCTGGCATCTCCTTGCTCCCAGAATCAGCTCTGTGTAGCTAGGATTATAATCACAGTACTAGCAATAGATGGCTATTTTAGTGGGTAGGGGAAGTGTTGAGAACCCTACCTGATAGAGAGGCAAGCTCAGCAGGAACTTTGGTTGGGCGCTCTCACTGGCACATCACTGTTGGTGGTCCCAATAAAAGGACACATCCTAAGCCCCCTGAGTGGTATTCTGGTTCTTTACCTAGCAGACTGTGTCACCCTAGGCAGATCTCAGCACCTCTCTGGGCTCTGGTTTCTTCCATGGATGACCTAGGGCTGAGAATGCCCACCCTCCCTATAGGATGAGGAAAAAGACCCCCAAAACATTTTGTAGATGCAGCTGGAAAGGGAAGTATTGCTCATCGTGATAGGGATAGGCTCACCCTTAAAGGAGCTCCAAGTCTAGTGATTCACAGAACACTGCATCCTCCATTTCAGGTACCCCAAACTGGCTGCAAAACACCGGGAATCCAACACAGCAGGCATTGACATCTTTTCCAAGTTCTCTGCCTACATCAAAAACACCAAGCAGCAGAACAATGCCGGTGAGTGACTCCCTTCCACCAAGAACCCCTGGCAGTGTCTGCTTGCTGCCCAAGGCATCTTCAATTTGCCCATGGGTATGTCAAATACTTGGGCCAGAGAAGCATCTGGAACCAATACTGCTTATTATTTGCCCCCACTTCCCCCCCCCCACCATCTAGTCCCCCTTGACACAGGGGAGGCGGTGGTGGATCCTGCTGCCTGGCTGGTGCAGGAGGAAAGGCCAGGGGCTTTACTGCCAAGCTGGGGAGAGGAACGCAGTTTGTGCTCTGAGCCTGCCTTATTGCACAGCATAGTGCACTGCACAGGACAGTCCTAACTGCCCATTGTCCCAAGTTCACAACCCTGCCTGTGATCACATGAGAAAAACATATTCCCTCCTCCTTCTGGTCCCTGCAAGATTTCTCCAGGGATTTTTCCAGAGGCCAAGGGAGAAGCAGCACAGTCACTACGTGGCAAATGCGGAAGTCAGACCTGAGCTGTGTTCTCCCCTTCTGCAGGACAGTGGGCTCTGGAAAGCCACTCCTCAAAGCCTGTCCCAGCCTCCATTGGGCCCTTCATTTCTGGCATTGGCTGCAGAATTCAGAACTTGGTTCTCTTGCAGGGCCTTCTGAAAGGGAGCTGACTCCCCTCCAATTAAGCTCACAGCACTTTCAGTCCTTCATTTGTCATTGTCCTTTAAGAATTACCTAAAGCCACTTGAATGGAACCATCCAATTAAGCAAGCATAACACTTGAAGAACGGTGTTAGGGCCATGAGGAACAGGCTGGCCACTGCAGTGCCAACCTGGGGGGCTTGGATTTTTATCCTATGGGCAATGGCAGCCATTCCCTTGCCCTCAGAATGGGATGACAAGACAGCCTCACAGGCTGGATGACTGGAGTCCAGCACAAAGCCAAGCAGTGTAAGTGCTCCATGAATCTTTGTGAATAAACGAGTGACTGATGCACAATGGACCAAAACAAGGGAATAGATGCTAGATGCCCCAGAAGCTCCAAGGAGAATAGCATCTCTTTGGATCAAGGCGACCAGCATATGCAGCCATGCATGGTCAAAGAGATGAAATGTTGGCAGGAACAGAGTTGGTGTAGTGGGAAGTAAATAATTTAGGAAGTTACTGAGGACCTGGATTGTGACAAGTGCAAAACTCGATTCTGGAGGTCCAAAGAAGAAACAAACACTTCCTCAGTCTTCAGTGCCTGGCAGGTGCAGAAGGAAAGGCTTCAAGTCAGTTTGATCCAAGAGATCTGGAGAGCCAATTAATCGCAGGTAAAATAACAAAATAATTTCTGTCGAAGGTATTCAGAACCGGAAGCATTTACCATGGGGGTAAATGCATGAGACTCCTTTTCTGGGAGTTTCAACTGGGTCGTAAGGATTAAGAAAGAAGCAGTCGGCTGAGATCATTGAGTGGAAGATGTGGGGAAGTTGAGAAAAGGTCAGGGACAGAGACTGGAAAAAGTGACTGAAGCCTGCAATGCCAGCCTGAAGGGCTTGGTTCTTTGTCTTGTGGGCAATGGCACCCATTAGAGGTGTGTGTAGAGAAACTAGAAAGAGAGTGGCTTCTGGGAAATAAGAAGAAGGCTGTGTAAAATACTTTCAATCTACTTGGTGCTCTTGCTTCATTGCTGCTTGGACCCTGTAGTGTGCTGAGTAGTACCCCCGCAGAATTCACATCCAACCTGGGCAACATAGCAAGACCCTGTCTTAAAAAAAACAAACTTGTTTTCAATTAGCTGGGCAAGGTGATGTATGACTATAGTCCCAGCTACTCAGGAAACCAAGACAAGAGGATTGCTTGAACCCAGGAGGTCGAGGCTGCAGTGAGCTATGATCATGCCACTGCATTCCAACCTGGGTGAAAGAGCAAGGTCCTGTCTCTAAAAAAAAATTTTTTTTAATGTATGTCCACCTGGGATCTCAGAATGTAACCTCACTTGGAAATAGGGTCTTTGCAACTATAATTAGTTAAGGATTTGGCGATGAGATCATCTTGGATTTAGTGTAGTCCCTAAATCCAATGACTGCTGTTTTTAAAAGAATAGGAGAGGGGCCAGGTGTGGTGGCTCTTGCCTGTCATCCCAGTACTGTAGGAGACCAAGACGGGCGGATCACCTGAGGTCAGGACTTTGAGACCCCCATCTCCACTAAAAATACAAAAATTAGCCAGATGTGGTGGCACATGCCTGTAGTCCCAGCTTCTTGGGAGGCTGAGGCAGGAGAATGACTTGAACCCAGGAGGCGGAGATTGCGATGAGCTGAGATCACACTGCTGCCCTCCAGCCTGGGCAACAGAATGAGACTCTGTCTCAGAAAAAAAAAAAAAAAGAAAAGAAAAGAGAAAAAGAGGAGAGGAGAGGATAGAGCCGTGCAGGGGAGAAGGTCGTGTGAAGGCAGTCAGAGACTGGGGTGATGCTGTCACAAGCCAGGGAACTCTTAGCTTTCTGGAAGCTGGAAGAGGCAAGGAAAGACACCTGCTAACACCTTGATTTTGGAACTGTAAGGGGAAAAGTCTCTGTTGTATTAAGCCACCCAATTTGTGGTACTTTGTCGTAGCAGTGCTAGGAAATGAATACGGCCCCTCAGAGCCATTGTGAGAAACAACAGCCATTGCTGCTTTCCTGGCTGAGGACACAGAACCAAACAAGAGGGCCCATGACTTGTCTGCCCCCAAGGCAGAGCTGGCTCTCGAACCCTCATTTTCAGACGCCACACCCAGTATCCTTTCCTCTTGGCCACAAATATCTCCTTTCATACTTGTCAAAGTGCCCTCAGAAAGATTATCTTATTTGAGCCTTCCAGGTTTTTAAAATTATAAATGGTATTTACATATTATCCATATTTACAGTTCTCCTATTCCCAAGGCCAAAGCCAGTTTCCACCAAATGCCGCATATCCATTTCTTATAAACTCAGTACTCTCCAATTTTCATTGTTTCCCCTTCTTCTGTTTCACCCTGTTTTCTTCTGTAATGAGACTTGCCCTTGTGACTCCTGCTTCCCCTAACTCATTTGCACATTTCAAAGCTCCAGCATTGCTGCTTTCCCAAAAAGCCTGTCCCCAGATGTGCTATTCCACCTTCTGTTTAGCAAGACACCACACATTCCTTCCCTAGAACTATAACTTGCCCACGCCCCTCCCTTCCTCTTTACTTGTCCTTCCTCCCACCCAATATCCCCCAGTTGTAGTCCACTGGGTCCAAAATTCTTAGACTTAGCAAGCCAGAGGTCAAGGCTCCTATAGGGCTTGCCCTCCTGTAGAGAGCAGCATGGCTCCTACGCTACCGTCCCAGAGCCCCACAGCCCCTGACCCGGGAGAGGGTCCATCCCCTGTCTGCTCCGTGTGAGCTCTGTGGCTGTGGCCGATCCCCAAGAGCATCAGCATTCAGGCCCAGGCCTCCTTCCATATGCCGCCCTACATTACTTTGCCAGTTTCTTTCCCCTCTGGATCTTCAGCGCTGCACCTAGTTCTGCAACTTTCTTTCTTTAAAGGGTTTCTCTTGTGTTTTCATTTACTTTATCTTGAGCAGAGCCCTCCCTCCCCTCCACCTGGTCACTAATGCCCCAGCCCCCATACACACACTGACCCAGGTCAAGATCCTTCTCTGCCCTCTCAACATGAAAGCATGAGAAAAACCAACACTGTTACGTGGTTCTCCATGGTGGGTCATCTCTCCACTCCTGTGGTGACTGCAGGAACCACCAAGTAAAATTTCCCTGTTGTTCCCCAAAGCCTCATAAGTCCTCAGCTACCACATCCATGGGAATCATCCTGGCAGTACTGGAGTAATGGAGAGAATCATCCATTAGTCTGTACAGTCAGTCATTCATTGATTCATTCAAAAAACTGCAAGTTATACAAAGTGTCTACAAGTCCGAGCTAATATTTAAAGGGCACTGCTTATGTGCCAGGTACTGTGCTAGGTTCTGGAGTTGCCAAGGCAATGAGACAAAGTCATTGCCCTCCATGAACCTAACAATCTACAGGGGGCTGTAAAACATGAAAACATGCAATTCCTGGCCTGGGATTGAATCCCAGCACTTTTAACTGCACAACTTTACCCAAGAGACTTACTTTCTCTGAGCCTCTGGCTCTGCATCTGTAAAATGGACTTTATATTCAGATTCTTTATCTGCCAATTAAGGCAAAATGATATCACCAAGGTTTGTAATGCAGGTTCATCTATTTTATAACTCAGTGTACGTAAAACCCTTAACGCAGAGCCTGGCCTAGTAACTGTTAAATTTGATTATTTTGTTTATTGCTATTAGCACAAAAATAGGACCAAGATGAGTAATGGCATCAGAAACTGCTGCTTCAGCTCTTGCTTCCCCCTCAGTGAGCTCTTCCAGATCTCCCACCCATTCAGTCTATTTTCTACTTTTTAGACTTTGTTGGTGCATGGTCCTCCTCTCCAAAGTGTCATCAAGGAGCGTCAGTGGCCTGGCCCAACTCTCATACCTCAGTAGCCTTGCATTTTTGTTTGTTCCCCGAGTGATGATTCTGTGCTCCGTGTTGAGGCCTATCATTGTACTCGCCCCTCCTCTGTAATTTCTAGATCTGGGTCCCCTTGATCTGCAGTAACCAGATTCTGCCTCCACGGCCCCTCCTCTCACTCTTTCCAAATCTGCTCTTCACTTCACTTAAATGTAGCCTGGATTTTCTCATGACTGGGTGGCAAGACCCCACATTAAGTCAGGTGCTACTTGGGGAAGTTGTTTCGTTTTCTTGTGCCTTAAGATCTCTCACTCCCACCCCTTGTTTTGGGGAGAAGGATAAGGGCTGTGTTTCTAAACATGCCATGTTTCCCATGCAGAGAGGCAGGCGACTCTGTGTGGCTCAACTTGCAGACTCTAAAGCCGACTGCTTTAAGTTCAGACACCAGCTTTGCCTCTTGTCCTTGTAACATGGGGCAGGTTACTTCAACTCTGTAATGCCTCAGTTTCCTCATCTGTAAAATGGGAGTAATAACTGTGCATACCTCATAAGTGTGCTTGGAATAATGCCCACCACCATGTTCAAAGTCAGCTGCTGGGGCCGGGCACGGTGGCTCACCCCTGTAATCCCAGCACTTTGGGAGGCCGAGGCAGGTGGATCATCTGAGGTCAGGAGTTTGAGACCAGCCTGACCAATATGGCGAAACCC